CAACCAGGATCTATTTGCAGTATTTGGGATTTTCATCTCACATTTCTAAGTGAGAATTTGGTATAAACAGATTCTTATTCAGGCACTTTCATGGATCAAAGACCAACTGAATCAAATAACTGGATAACATTATAACTAAAAATATTCATATCATTTGTTTTAATAAAGCACAAAACAATCCAAGCAAAAATAGGGAAATAGTAAAAAACTTGATATATTTAGTTTGTTTTGATCTATGCCAGTTAAGTTCATGCATTTAACATGCATTTAAACAGTCCTTCGGCGCCACTCGACGACATAGAAACATTGTTTCTTTTAACTTTCATGCCAATAAAGCCCCTTTGAATTGAAAGAGAGAGTGTGTGCTCACTGTTGGATCAGCAGCAACAGATTGATCACTTCCACTGCCACATCCAGGTCTTTGTCCAGCACCATGCCGAGCATCCTCTCCTTAAACAGACAGAAGAACAGCCATGCCAGCAGACACATGGGTGTCGAAATGACACACATTAAAGTACCCACAGACATGCATGCACGCATACAAACCAACTGATTAGGCACTAAGCCATGGCATGAAAACCATTTATCTGCAGCAGCACATGTGGCTTAGGAGGGTTTGTATGTGTTTGAACAAAGCTTATTAACCAATAGTAATTGGCAGCAATTAATGCACCCAGACACACACCCAGAGACAAAGGATAAGACCGACACAACAAACCAGAACGGTGAATAATAGTAAAAAAAAGGCAGAGAAGTGGGAGGGGCACAATAATACTGCGAAAACAGGCAGGCAGGCAGCAAAATAGAAACAATAAGCTGACACAATAGATTAAAGAGAGGGTATGCAGACAGACAGACGCACGGCCAGAAAGACAGACAGACAGACAGACATACAGAGAGACAGAGAGACAGACAGAGAGACATACAGACAGGCAGACAGACAGAGAGAGAGACAGACAGACAGACATACAGACAGACAGAGAGACAGACAGAGAGACAGAGAGAGAGACAGACAGACAGACATACAGACA